GCGAATAAATATATCGTCCCAGCGATCGAAACTTCTTCTTCTCAGTATTCTTGACTCTCAATATTAACATCTCGCAGACAAATCTGACCTCAGGAAGACTATTACGAATCGCCTTGACGTACCACTGTATCCGTAAAAAATGACTCACTACGTAACTAGGATGCACACCGCGCGCAGTTTTCACAGGCGATCAAAGCACCTTACGCTGAGCATCTCATGCACGCTAGATGGCCTAGCTAATGCAGTCTCATAAATTTAATAAGAAATTGCCTGCTGCTCAAACTATATGTCGCACTCCTTTTTCTGCAATTTTCCATATTAGTTCATAGTCATCTGCAGATTTAAATTGTCTGGATATCTTGCACTACGTCATGACAAAACATTTCGCATGGCATATGGGTAAAGTTGAACTGTACTGGTGAATTTGCAACTCATCGTCAGCCGAGATAAACAGACGAAAAAGTGAAATGGTCGGACTAGACACTCTGGCGCGACCAGACAGATTCGAACAAACAGACAACTAATACGTGAAGTGCGTTTCTTTTTATGTAGGTTTCATTATCTTAAATGGACGGAACATCAACCCCAAAACCGGGTATTACAGTTCGGAAGGCAAAACCGTTTGCTTTGCCGCCGGTGTGTTTACGACGTAGTTTATTCCACCTTCAGTTTGCACTGCTCCCTTGGTATTGCGTTCATCCGTTAGGGAAAATAGAAACGTGTAAATTTGATACCTGATATGGCCGACCAAGCTGCAATTAGACGTTCTCTGTAAATACCAAAGCTGGGCAGGTTGTCTTGAGCTGGCTGTTTGCTCCTATAGCAAAGTAGAGCTTTTGTTTGGAAGCGTTTGACAAGGCAGTGAGCTACTTACGCATGGTATGACCGTCTCAAGACAAGGTAGCGACCGCCTGATGAAGGACATGTGATTGGTTGGTTCAAAAGGTTTGGTAAGCGGGCACAGACGAAAGGCGACAAACTACGTCGGCCGATATGCGGAAGGTAGCGTGGTGTGAGTGCAGCCAGGACTCAGTTCACGTCAAGCCTGAGGTACTAGTGGGGCGTCTGCAGCTTAGCGCCGTAGCCACAGCCATAGACTAAGATGCGGGCGCTGGAGACGGGGGCACCGTAGTGGCTGCAACGCTATTGCGTTTTCGCACTGAGGACTTCCTACACTAATTTCCATCGTAAGTCTTCTAAGTAAGAACACCATAAAACATTTGTAACGCGTGTGGACAATAAGCTATCAATCCTCGGACAGCTGCGCCCCAACCCATCAGTGAACAACAAATTGATATGGCTAGCTTTGCGAAACAGCCACATTTACTATGCACCCTATTACACTATCCTACCCTTACCAAGAAAAGTTGTCTGCATATACCTTAATATAAAAGCAAAAGGTCATTACAATGGGCCCTGCATTGGGGCTCTGTTGTTCTAGAGACATTGGTCTCTTTCACTCTAGCCACGCTAGTCAGATCTCTCGAGGCAGGTTTGACTACATGGTTTTAAGATCGATGATGATGACGAGGAGGAGGAGGATGGTGTTGGGATTGATGATGATGTGCGATTTCATCCTTCTTTTCCTAGTCTACGTCTCCGATTCCTACCTTGTGTTATGTCGATAACTTTTGTATCTGTCAAGGATCGAAATCAACTTAAATAGCAAAAATTATATTCGTTCCACGAATAGAAGCGAATATGCGTGCCCCAGGTTCTTGTTGTAAGGAAGAGGTAGACGCGATCTCTGAAACGATCTCTGGATCGCGTCTTCCTCTTCTTCATATTCGTTCCGTTTAATATCCTTAACTAAAATATGAGGAGCGATTTGTTCGATGAACCGGGAAGATTGCCTTGAGGTGGCAGTTTAATTACGTGGCAGAACAAAGCAACCGTTGGGGAGCGTTTGAGCAGCGGTGCGTGCAGGCATGCCCCTGTTGGAATTACTGAGCGACTGGCTGAATGGAGGACGTGTGATTGATTGGTTCAAAAAGTTATGTCGGCGGGCATACTTATAAGGCCTTAAATTTGACAAACCACGCCAGCCGATGTGCGCAAATAGCCTGGTGTGAATGCCACTATACGTCAGCTCAGACCAAATCGAACGGGTGGCCCTGTTTTAGCACAGTGTCTGCAGGTTTGCGCGGTTGACATGGCCGTCGACTAAGGCAAAGGCGCGGTAGAAGGGTGCAATGGACTGGTTGATACTCTTCCACAGAAGTGTGTTTGACCTATCGTCGACTGGATGAGTTTGGTGCGCCGCCAACATCCTAGCCTCATTTCCACCGTAAATCTTCTAATCGAGCATATTACAAAACTGGTAGCCCTTACTTGTAGAAAACAAAGCATAGCTTGCCGAAGACATCCGCGTTTACGATGCTCACCTATTATACTGTTCATTGGCGCTGCTCTTATCGTAGCCTTGGCGACAAAGTACTTATTCATAGCCCTTGATATAAAAACAATAAGCCATTACGTTGTGCTCTGCAGTGGGGGTGTTCTTTCCTTAAAGTGCCTCCGCCACTCTAGTCGCGATATTCGAATCTGTCTTGAGAGCTTCGATTGTATGGTCTAATGTTTGAAGATTATAATGATGATGTGTCAATTCGCCTTTCTGTTCCTATTCACAGGCCTTACAACAAGTTGATAAGCATGCACTGATGGTGGCG